TTTAAAAATAATTAAAAAAAACTTTGGTCTTTCCTCTTAATAACATAAGCATTTAGACAATAAAATTTTGTTTTCGGCAAGTTTGGCGTCTTTTTCATCAAGCTATGCTCTTTTTTTAGCGATTTCGTGGAGGTACCTATGTTAATGTTTTCAATTACAAATTCCAGATTGCTCAAGAATAAACTGTTTTTTCTCAGCGGTTTTAAATGTGTTTTAAAAGGGGGAAGGTTCAAAGCTACAGAAATTACTAGTGGCTCTGCAATCAAGGAATTTTTGCTTAGTTGGTTATTTTAAGATTGGATTCTTCCAAACAAGCTTTTCATATTGGCATCCTTTGTAGGAGATATATAAGCGTGGGCTGAAAAGTTCATAGGCTGACTATGAAGGAATTATGCTAGGGCTGTGAAATCTTGCATGCATTAATTTCAAATGTTCTTATTTCTAACTACATTGTTTTTTTTCCAGATCAACAGACATCTGACTGTTCAAAGAAGACTTCAAATGTAACTAGTAGCAACTTCTCTTGAAAATGGACAAAATTTGGTATTGTGGTGTTATCAAGTACCTGCAGAAAAAGGGTTTGGGCCCCCCCAAGGACATTTATGCTCACATGGTTGCTTCATTAGTGGATGACTTTATCAAGTGTAAAAGTGGACAGCTGAAGTCAAAATGGGAAGGGAATCTTGAAGATGACCGTAGGTCTGGATGTCCTGCAACTGCCACCACTGATAGGAAACATTTATCGTGTTCACTACATTGTGATAAATGACAGGTGATTGACTATAAATCAAATAGCCGATGCTATTAGCATAAAGATTTGAGAATATTCTACACAAAAGAACTTGTCATGACAAAGGTTTCTGCTCAGTGGGTGCCATGTCTTTTGATACCTGATCAAAAATGCACAAGACTGATCACATCATGAGAAAATCTGACACTGTTTGAGGCAGATCCAGCTGGTTTCCTTGGATGTTTCCTAACCCAGGATGAGTGTTGAGTTCATCACTTTGAAACACAGACAATCCATGTAGTGGAAACCACCCTTCCTCACCTACTCCAAAGAAAGCTAAGTTTGTTTCATTTGTATGGAAGGTGATGGCTTCAGTTTTTGCAGATGCAAAAAGCATTGTGCGTTCTAATTTACAAAAGGGCCACACCATCTATGCCAACTTGCTGAGGCAGTTATGAAAAGGCTATCAAAACCAAATACTCAGGAAAATTGATGAAAGAGGTCTTGTTTCATCAGGACAATGCTCTGACACACAAGTCCTTGGTTTCAATGGCTGCTGTGCATAATTGTGGTTTTGAACTGGTTGATCAACCCCTCTGTTCTGATTTGGACCCCCATCTGAATATCATTTGTCCCCAACATGAAAAAAAACTTGGTTGGGAACCAGTATCGCAGTGATGATGTTATATCAGCTGCTCCTGACTTTTTGGCCAACAGCATGAAAGCTGCTCCACCAATGGGATTCAAGCACTGCAACACTGATGAAAAAAGTATGCACTTCAACAGGGACTATATTGAAAAATATCTTTTCGTTGCATGAGAGCATCTTGGTCAGCTACGAATTATTTCAATGACTTATCTCCCAACTCACTTTCAGAGACAGATCCACATGTCAGGATAAGATAAATCTATTCAGATATATATTTTAAAATATGCTTCATATTAAAAAAAAAAAAAATTTTTTTTTTTTTTTTTAATAATTTGACATGTTTCCTTTTTATTTTATCTTCCACTAGCAGCATGGCCCGGCATTGCCCGTGCTTGATTCAAAAATCGTACGACTCGTACAGCAATCGCTATCACTTAAAATATTTTTGCCCTTCCTTGCCTTTAAAGGAGTGCCCTTTGCCGTGCTGATGTTGCTACATGCCTTACTTCTTGCCTATCTCACATTGCAAATTTTTTCTAAGCTCTATACTAAACATTAAATCTGTTATGAAAAAAGAACCAAACAAAATGAACACAAAACGATCAGCTTTAAAAAAGGACTCGTAACTGGAAAAAACAAATGAAAAAAGAATGTTAACAACAAATACTTTTTCACACCCAACCCAGTTCTGTGGAATCGTAATCAACGTTGAGTTTAAGCAAGCGAATGAGCCAATTGGAGTAAAGTGCCATGCAGATTTAAATTTTCCCCACTTGTGACGAATGCAGCTATTGACTTTTTTTTTTTTTTTTTTTTTTTTGCATGCTAGTTAACTTTTGTGTTGGTCAGCTGTTGGCTCTCACACTGGCCAATAGAATCTTCCTGCCTATTCGTGGTAGCCAGCTATAGGCTCTCACTCTGGCCAGTACAAAATGGCTGCAAACTACATGAAAACTGCCATAGAAGCATGAAAAAATCGATTATTTCCACTATCAATGGGAGTTGGGAAATGCAAAGTCGGTCTTGGCCTTCCTGCTAACTTTGTGCATGTAAATTTTGGTGCAAATCCGTTGAAAATTGCAGCCGTGCATTTGTTACACACACACGCATCCTGCCTTTTATAGATAGATTTTCTCTCTAACCTTATCTATTTTATTTTTTTAATTTTCTTTATTGCCTCATTATCTTGTATTATATACTAAATGTAACAGTTACATGAGAAGTATTTTCTTTTTCATTTTCTAACTTTTCCTTTTCTCGTTTTTAAGCTAATTTTAAAAAATTAGCCTTTTGCTACCAAAGTTTTGAATTATTATTAGTTTTGTTATTTAAGAAACAACCTAGCTAGTGCTTAGTCAAGCACTAATTATTATTCTTTCACTTTGTTGCTTTGTAATCATGAATATTATTATAAGTGCTACATTCTAAAGGAAAATATGCTGTGTTTTCACCAGCTTAGTGGATAGGCTTTGTATGTATAGGACTTTTTTTATATTCAGAAATTATATGGTACCAACAACTAGTTCTGCTTGTAATGTACCCATACTGCATATGAAAAGAGCTGTCAAAAATGATATATTGTAAATACAATACACATTTTTATTATTTGAAATGTTATGTGACACTTGTTTGATTTCAGCTGCAAAGGAAAATAAATATAATCTTGGACTCAATTAAGTTTTACCTGGAACAAGGCCACAGGTATCGAGCATCCTGTAATTATCTCATTACAGTAGTAATTGCATGTTCACTGCTTTAGGATTAGGTTCCTTCATTGTATGATATATGCATTTTCTAAGTAATATTTATAAGTAACTGAATCAATTTTAAAAAAACAAAATAGAAATTCTGAATCATAAGTCTTTCATGTGATTTTTGTTTTTGTTAATGCGATATTTAAATGAACTAATATATTAATACTTCTGAAAAAAAACTTGGGAACTATTTGAAATTGGTGTAGTCATCTTGAACATATTAATTATACTTGTTCATTCTCATGTAAATATGACAGTTACACAAAGGATGTGTAAGTGGTATAATGGCTAGAGGCTCAGAATAAGAAATCATTGAGCTGAATTCAAATTCTGGTCAAGAATGTTGCATTCATTTGTGCACAAATACCCTTGTGAAATATAAATCATCTCTTCCCCCCACTATGGGTTAAATAGCAGGGCAGACATGACTCTCTAGTCATGATTGGTAACCAGTATAGAAGGATAACAGTAAATTCAAAACTGTGGTCCTAGTAGAGTAAGTACAGACTTGAACTAAGGAAGGTTCATTCATCATAGTTTCTTTATAAATCACAGGTTGGCTCAATGAATGTTGAAAAAACACAAATGGACCTGATCAGATAAGCATGCTGGGAAATGAGCAGAAGATTAAAAATCACACTGATTTGCAATGTGCTTTCAAGTTGAAACAGCTCTGATGATAAAGAAATAATTTTAAAACAATGCCCTACCAATAATATGCATTTTGATATTCTTTAATTCATATTTAAAACCTGGTTTTAAATTTGCTAAATTTGGTTTAAGCTGGAAAGGTGTGATATACTCTACCCTGAACCATAAACAGGTAACATTTTTAAGCTTTTTTTTAAAAAAATATTTTTGAGACAAGGTAAAAAAAAAAAAGAAAAATTCTTCCTCTACCTCAGCCTAGTAGACTTTCACTATTGAAAGATTGATATCACACATTCTTACTAATTACTCAGTTTCTTAGCTTTGTAAATATCTATGATTGCTTGATTTTACTCCTTTCCTAAAATAGTTTTCATTAATAAAACAAGCTAATAATTAGCTGCTAATTACATGTTTATAGTCATTGTTAAAACTCTGATAATTGATATATCATGCAAAAATTTAAAGTAGTTTGTCTTGATTAGGAAACTGGTATCAGATCATTACACATGTAACAAGTTCAATCCTGGCCGGATGTCTTATACAGGGTGCAACAGAAATACCTCCCACATAAGACATCGGTGGCAATGGTGTCTTCAGCTAGCTAATGTCTTACCATTATGTGGGTATTTCTGCTACTCACAGGACTTGTCATTTAATGCCATACTAAGCTAAGTTTTAGTAAATACCGTTTTAAACATACATTCCTAAAAAAAAAAAGACAAAGAGAATGCCCTATTCTCTCAAACTAATTAAATTAGGATTAGTTTAAATAAATATTACAGAGGTGAAGTTATTGAGGACAAACAAGAGTAGAAAAAACTTACAAAGTTATCTTGATGTTGCGAATGGAGAGAAAAAAAAAAATGAATGAGAATGGAAAATAATGATTATTGAAAAATCATTCCATTTAAAAAAAAAAAAAAATTGCTTAGTAATATTTTTAAGTGTAGATTTCTTTTGGCATTAGGACACCCATTGAGGATTGAACTCATTACCCAGCAATAATAATGCTAGTGGAACGAATACCCATTAAGGACTGCTGAGAGATTGATTAGGAACACTTGTACAGTTCACTTAAATTTAATCCAGATAGCCCATTTGCAGTTTTGTGTCAGACAAAAAAAAAAAAAAAACTTTAAGTTGATTCCAGCTACAAAAAAGGATTAAAAAAAAAAAAAAATCAGAATTTTCCAACGATTATCTCTCTAGTAACCAGCGCACTTAGGAGTATGGTCACAACCTGATGTCTGCGGTAAACTTATTTTTCTCGGCTAAAATGACCGTGTGTCATGTTTTGTATCTGGGTATGCAAAATAAGTAAAAGTAGGCGTGATGTGTTTTGTTTTTTTATATTAATCAATTTGCTTACTAATATGTTGTAATTGTTTAAAAAAAATAAAAACTTAATCCTTTAGGGAAAAAACAATATTTCGCGTAAAATTTAAACCAAGGTTTTGAAATGTCTTAATGGCGACTTACGCAACCAATTCTTTTCAGTTGAATAAATATTGTATTCCTTTGTTTTAAAAAAATTAGCTGAAGGTTCCATACAATAATTCCCAGCATAACGTTTAATTCGCCAATTTACAATTTTTACGAAGAAACTTCGTTTGTTTGCTTACCAATGTGTATGATGATGCTCGTCAGACTGAAAATTTTGGCTGCACCCACTGGATATATCCGTATTGTAGCTTAGCTTTGACGAAATTTGCTTTTCCTTTTAGTTATTGTTTGTATTGAAAAAGAAAATTTCGTCATCGTCATTTTTATTATCCATTTTCCACTCCTCGAGCGATGTAGATGATCTCTACACGAGGCAAGTGGGTACAAAAAACAAAATATTATATTAGCTAGCTTTCTGAACTGAACGGTCAAAGGAGACTTAATTTCCCACTCCCAGTTTGAGGTCGTCGGATTTTTATGTAATCGACTAGATTATTGGTAGCGATACGCTTATTCTGCGGGTCTTTTTGTAGGTATTGAACTCTATACACGGAAATCTGCTTTTCGCACGTCACAAGCAGCCATTGAATTTTTTTTTTTTTTTTATCTACACAACATTGACAGAGGAAGTCGATTTCACGTGCACTCGTATCTGAAGCAGGTAAGGATGTAAAAATGTGTTTTATTTAATAGCTTATTTTTATTTTTTAATAATTAAGTATTGAATTATTATTATTATATATGTACTCCAATTTATTTTGGGGGAGGTATTTTATTTTACTTTTACTTCCACTAGTACTTTTCGCATAGTGACAAAACTTAAAAAATTAAAAACATTATGTTGTGTGTGTGTGTGTGAATAGTGTTTCTAGCAAAAAAAAATATGATTGAAATCTTTTTTTTTTTTTTTTTTCTCTCGTTACATATTTTAAAATAGTCTCACATTTGTTGGGTACTACTGGCATTCATCTTCTGGTAAAGTATTTTTGTTCCTTATTTCTAATCCACTTTTTTTTTTTTTTTTTTTTTTTTAAATATCCTTTGGAACAGTCGTAGAAAAAGGATTGTTCTTTTTATACGGAACGGATTCTAATGAAGTATATTTATGTTACATGAAAACACTTCCAATAACTTACACAGTGACTTACGATAGCTATTCATTTGATTATTAGAAAAATGACCTAGTTTTATCGAATTTTTATTTTTTTTAATCATGTTATTCGACGTTACACTAAATTTTAAAAAATTGACAACACTATTCCAGGAAATCGCTGAGGTAAAATAATGTTTTCCTAAACTTGAATGATTTGGGCAAATCGATGTTTATTATTGTTCACTTTTTTTTTTCCTTGTAAGCCTGCATTAACCTTGTTTTATTTTTCTGATAGCATTAAACCGTGGGTTGGCTTTGAAATTCCTTAATTGCTTGAAAACAAATTGGTGTATTCCTTGTTTTATCGAAACAAGTCTTGTCAGTGCACGTTTACAAAATAAGTTGTCTTATCACGTTTTTTAATAATAAAAAACAACAACAACAAATAATGAACGCTGTGGTGGTCCGAAAACTGTTCCCCCCCCTCCCCAAAGTATATCGTCCTCTTCGGAGGAGCTGGTTTGCCGAATCTTGCCGTAAAGTCATGTCACACATGCACACGATCATGTCTCCATACACTTGCAAACAGCCTATCTTCTAAACTGTAGAAGCTCGTGTCAGCCATCTGAAAAAGAAATTTATATTATGTAGGGTGACAAGACTTTCGGACCACCCTCGATGTCTTTATCTGCTTCTGTTTATTTATCTTTTGAAATGACTTTATTTTTTTTTTTCCTTACTGCCTATTTGAAAATAGTTTCTAACTGCTAGAGAGGTTTTCTTCTTTGAAGACAGAATCCGACCAGTAAGTAAATATGTAATGTTTAAAACAATTAGCTTCAATTTAATTCAAGGTTGTTGCCAAAGAAATAACTAAGAAACAAAAGTTGCTGTTGGTATAATTTTTTTCACATATTTTTAAAAAGGTGCTTAAATCGAATTTAACATTTTTTTAGCACCTCCTCTTTTGTTACTTTCGCCGAGTTTGATTTTATTTTTTTTAAATTAAAAATCAAATTCTCATATTTAAAACAAAAAATATTTCTTCAACGATAATTACAATTAAATCCAAAAACCAGTCAAAATAATATACTACAACTACACTACACACACATACACACACAAAAAGACAATTCGCTTTCCTTTTTAATTGCCAGTATATTTTTTATTTCTATTTTCACTTATCTCGTGAAAAACATTTTTACTTGACGATTTGGGAGTGAGAACTACCTACATGTCAGAAGTTTCATCAATTTAAAAAAAAATAAAGATTTTTTTCATTATGTTTTACTTTTTGGTCCTTTAAATAAAGAAAAATATCGATGGATATGGACAATTAATGTTGCTGAACTTTTTTTTTTCTTCTATGTGCTATGTTTCTTCAAGATGCGGGCGATCATAGCTCTCCACAACTTCCTCTCCTAGCTCTTAGCAGTGTTTGTTTGTCTTGCTCTTGTCCTTGATACCTGTTCTGCCATTCACACTGATTCATTAGGTAGTTTATTCACTGTTTCCCTTTGCTCCTCTTGTTTTCGGTATGTCCTGTGAGTGTTAAATTCTCCAAGCCCTCTTTCCTCTTCCTGTCTCTCAGAAATTTCAACTGTCACTTTCTGATTATAAGTTAGTGTACTTTAAGTTTCCATTTTTTTACTTAAAACTTCCCTGTTACTCATATGTTCCATCTATGGTATTCTAATCCTCTTTCTATAGAACAACATCTATTAACTCAAATCTTCTCATCTGAGAGGAAATTGTCCAGTATTTCCTGCCATTTACGAGGATTGATATTACATACAAGGGTCATTCAAAAAGTTCTAAGCCTCATCCAGGAGAAGTTGGAAAAACAAAACAATTTTTTTACCATTTTTCAATATAATCACCCCCTTTGGCATCAATGCACTTGGTCCAATGATGCTTAAGCATTGCCATCTCATCACGCAATAAGGTGGTGTCCTGGTCCTCCAAAAACTCCTCTACAGCACATATGATCTTGTCATTGTTTTCAAAATGATGGCAAAGCAGATGTGATTTGAGTTTAGGAAACAAAGACAGAGGGAGCTAAGTCTGGTGAGTAAGGGGGATGAGGTAGCAATTCAAAGCCTTCAGCTACTACAACCTGAGCAGTGTGAATGGGTGCATTATCCTGGAGCAAGAGTACACCTGTGCTGAGCACTTGTAGATGTTCAGCACTCTTTTCTTTCAGTAATTTTATCTACTCCAAAATTGTTTAAAGCAGATAGCATCTCTATTACAATTCCATCTAGTCTTCCTGTTTTGTTCCTGTTTGTCTTGTCCAGTGCTGATCTTACTTCAGGCTTTAATATTTAAGGTTCTTCCATGTTTTTGTGTAGTGACAGTTTTAGAGAAAGTGGAAATAAAAGGATGTTTATACTTAGAATCAGAAAGAGATAAGCGGGCTTGGAAAATTTAACATTCAAGACATGTTGAGGGACAGAGGAAAGCAGCAAATAACTTAATGAGCTTTTGTAGATGGTTGCCAGAACAGGGATAAGGATAGCAAAAAGATAAACCTTGCTAAGAGCTACAAGAAGTTGTGGCAAAACATGGTCACCTAAGTCCTGAAGGGACATGGCACATAGTTAATCTCACCTTTGTAGAGTATTTCTATTTTTTTTTTAGTGTTCCCTCTTTAGATTTTATGCATCCTATTGATAAGCCAGTCTTTTGTACTTATTTCTTTTATTTGCTTATGCATAACCTGTTGTACCTTTTGATGCTAACTCTGTCTCTCTCTTTTATTATTTTTTTTTAACCTAGCATTTGTTCCTAATGTTTAATTAGTGTTTAATATTCTGTATCATTCCTTGGCATTGTTTGCTGTCTTTTTTTTTATCATTTTGAGTATTTCATCTGTCATCCACTTTTTTTTTTTTTTTTTTTTCTCTTTTCTCTCTTTACTTGGGTGATCTCATTCACCAATGTCACTCAAGCTTCTTTTAATGTGTTCCATTTTGAATTTCTGGTCCCATCCAAATAAGTTTTAACTTTGTCAGCATAGATCTTTTTGCAAGTTATTCTGGATCCTGTTGTATTGTAGTTTAACTTTCGATTCTTGTTCATTGCAGTTTTAAAAATTTTCTTACCTATTTGATGTCCTAAAATATTTAATTACAACCAGTTTTTTTTTTTTTTTTTTTTTTTTAATTTATTAAACTAAAATAGTAATTGAGAAAAACCATTGTTGATTGCAGTCACAGAATTATTTCCTTTCTGAAATAATCTAACAGTTGCAAAGTTAAAATTCTTTAAATGGCATTTGAAAAATAGTATTAAACTTTACATTGTCAATTCAAACACTTCTTTATTAAATAAAAAAAAAATATCTTTTGATGCAAACAGAAAATGAATTTCAAAATTGTACTGAAAAATTGCAAGTAATATTTTTTTAAAAAGGCTTTTTTTCCCTGTCAAATCTGAAAGAAAATAATGTCACTGACTTTTAACAAAAATTTTTTTTCTAGTTTTATTGAATTATTTTTCATACAAATTTTTTTTTTTTGTTTAATTTTGGGGATTTTTCTCTTATATTGTTTAAAAAAAAATAATAAAATAAAAAAATAAAATGTAATTTTGCTAAACATCCACCCTAAATTTAAAAGTACATGTTGTGGGGAAACTGAAACCCCAACAATACCCACCCACCCACAATATTCCCACCAAGTTTTTAATATAATGACTTGTTCATTAATGAATGTATTTTATGTTTAATAAGTACTGAAAATTCCTTAATTTTTGAGTTTTTAAACTAGGGGTAGCATCTTTTTTTTTTTTTTTTTCTTTCATTCACAGATTTTGTTGATACCTACTTTGATTCAATCAGGCGACGGTTTCCGAAATAATGCCATTAATTTTGTAGAGTTATATACAGATTTGGGTTATAAGTAATCATTTTTACTTTAAGTCATTGATGTGTATCAAAAATTTAAGATTTATTATAAATTCAAGTTTGGAGAAGATTTAATCGGAATCCTTCTCCTTATTTAGGTTTCATTTCAGTAATCTCTATTTAACATGTTTTGCTAGTAAAGTTCTAAAATTTTGTACATTTGGTAATTAATATTACATTCAAGCAAAAATGCATTTTTTTTCTTACTCATTAAAATCTTAAAAACAAATTACCTTCTTGAAAAGAAGTTATTGAACTTTCAACTTAATTGTTATTGGATTAGCTTTTGAACTTTTTCGTTTTTATTTGTATTATCAAATTAAACTGCATATTAACTTTTTTGAGATTAGTCCTAAATTATTAACTTTTATTGAAATAATTTTTTTTTGTTTTTATAATTTTCTTTTACTTAACTAACAAGTATTTTACAGATTTGAAACTTTTTTTTTTTTTTTGATAACAATGAAGTTGAGATTTAAAAAAAATATTTGTGAAATAGTACAGTGTGACTTAAATGTGTACATATCAGTGTACAGTATCACTGTTTTTGGCTATATTTTTGTTTTGTTCAACAATTTTAATAAACCAAAAAAAACCCAAAACCAGTTATTTGGGATTTAACTAAAGTGACAATTTGTTGCTACAATTTAACTACATATAA